TCACGAAGGAAGAATCCAACTGACCGAATTTTTGGAAAAGAGCCTAAACCGAATAACAGTTTTAATGTCAAATAATAATAAGAATATGGTGATAGATATTATTAATAAGGAAAATGAATTAGAAACACAAGTTTAAGGGATGTGCATAGCTCAGTGGTTAACGCTTCTGACTTTGCACACCGATGACGCGGTTTCGATTCCTGCTTAAAGTCTAGAAAAAAGAAGTCTGATGAGCAGATGTGGTGATCTCCGAAATAGCTGCTAAAACTTCTACCGCTTAGACTTTGTTGCATTTTCCATTTCTTCCTAATAAAAAAATCGTGGTACACAGCTCAATAATAAATTTAAATGTTAATAAGCAACAATAACACTGAAAAATAATTTATGTTCTTTTTACGCTCGTGCAGCTGCGGCCAAAAGCCGGTAGTTAAGAAATTTAAAACAATATATTTTTATAAATTTTTATAGAAAAATAATCCTATCTTATTTACTGCTAAGTGAGTTTATGTATATGCAAGCCAACAGAGTCCACGAAACAAACAACAAAAAAAATGCAATTTCGTTATTACAAATAAAAATTACCAGTCTTTGTCATATGACAAGCGAGAGCCAATCTCCGTTGCATTGTTTGTAAAATACATGTAATTAATGTGGTTTATTATTTTGTTTTGTTTGTTGATTCGACAAACCGCGGCGAGTAATCAGAATTAAAATGCAATCGTTTAAAATTGCATAAAACGCGCTCGCCCTCACACACAAGCTTTCTGCCGGAAACCCCTTCGCTTCTACATATACAGTATTGGTCATATCTATAGCACGCCATTTCAAAGTAATATTGTTTGCCCCTTATGTTTTTTCTGTTAAGAATTTTCACTTAAAATGCAGTTCATTCTCTTACAAACCCCACATAAACCAAAGTTGGCAACTTTGTAAAAACTAAAAAAAAAATCATAAAATTTTAACCCAAATTTCAAACTTTTTTCTCGGAACTGTTAGAATTTTTTAGTAAACAGTTTTATAGGCCATTCAATTTTAGTTCAAGTTTTAAGTGACTAAAAATTACCGTTGATTTTTTAGATTTTTTTTCGTCAACGGTGTTGCGGTTCTCTTTCATATACAAATAAATTCTGTTTGTTTGTTATAAGGAATTGCGACAAAAAATTCTAAAAAATCAAAGGTAATTTTTAGCCACTTAAAACTTGCGCATTATCAGACCAAAATTGAATGGGCTATAAAACTGTTTACTCAAAAAAAATTCTGGCACTTCCGAGAAAAGTTTGAAATTTGAGTGAAAATTTGTTGATTTTTTTTTTTAGTTTTCTACAAAGTTTTAAACTTGGGTTTATATGGGCTTTGTTAAAGAATGAACTGTATTTTAATTGAAAATACTTAAAAAATATAAAAATAAACATAAGAGGAAAACAATATTACTTTGAAAATGCGTGCCAATATTTTAGCGAAATAAAATGAAGCGTTTTTGTATCAGAATAAAAAATATCAGCCATTGAAAAACAACTACATATATATGTATGCGGAGTTATAATGGCAATGAAATCAACAAAAAAAAATATGCCACTAAATATACCACACTCTATTGAAATTACGTAGAGTCTAAAGCAAATAAAAAATGCTGCTATTTTTACAACACAATGCACGAAATTTAAACTTTATAAATTTGCCGTCAAATCAGTGCACTTAAACAATATTCGATATATACACACTCTCACTGCGCTTCAGCTATTCGAAAAATGATAATGCAACGATTAAAATGGAATTATAATGGCACGCGCTGAATGGCAAGCTTGCACTCTAGTTAAAGCACAAAAAAAAATAACGCTGTAAAAGTTCATAGTATAGTCATTGTATCAAATAACGCATATCCGCTGGCATTAATTGCGTTCGACAATTTTTTTTTTGTTTGTTGCTCCAGCCACACAAAACGTCTATAAAAGAATTATTCTGCTAACTTTGTTAGCTCTGCAAAGTGGGTGTAGATATATACGAATACAAGTACTGTGTGTAGGAGTGTGCTGTTGCGTGCTTACTCATGCATCGATTGCGCCAGGAAATTGTGGTAAATCTACCTGCAGCGTTGCCCCAGCCAGTCAGTCAGTGTCATTGGAAATGCCGCCACCGCAAGCTTTTACTAGCACGCGGGCGGGCAACGCACAAACGCCGGACAAAGCGCGTAAATGTCAACCATAATATCATTCAAGCGTAAATTGCGATATCAGCTATAAGCGCGTATGTATTTACACATTCGACAAAGTAGATGCATATATCAGATAGTCACAAGTAAACATACATATGTACATGTGTATGTACTACATATACCTAGTAAATATATCCAACAGGGGGGCGTACGTATGTACCGCATTTGCTAATGCACAGGTGAATTTATGTTTTCTAGTTAGGGATCTGCGATTTCGTTCAAACTCTACTACATTGTTGCTGGTAAGCAATGACACTTTACAGCGGCATTTTCTAGTTTTATGCAAATTTTACATATTTTTTTCAGATTTTCTGCCGCTTTATTTATCTGGAATTTTCGGGACTGCCGCTGTGGTGTAGTGGTAAGCAGTGCGCGCTTCCACTCCGCAGCACCTGGGTTCAAACCCTGGTGAAAGCAACATCGCAAAAATATAGAAAAAGGTTTTTTCTTAACAGCGGTCGTCCCTCGGCAGGCAATGGCAAACCTCCGAGTGTATTTCTGCCATGAAAAATTGCTTCTCATAAAAATACAATCGCCGTTCGGAGTCGGCGTAAAACTGTAGGTCCCTCCGCTCTGTGTGACAACATCAAGGCGCACGCCACAAATCGGAGGAGAAGCTCGGCCAAACACTAACATATGTGTAAGCGCCAATCTATTATTATTATTATTATTAACATTTTTACTATTTTTTTTTTTTTTGATTCTTCAGATTTTATTAGGAATTTTTGTTTAGTATTTCTGAGATCTTGTGTGTTTTTTACGTTATTTTTTAGATCTTTCGAAATTGTTCCGTGTATATCGATTTTTTCGGGATATTTTGGATTTTTTTGGATTTTGGATAGTTTTGCTACTATTCGGAGTTTTTTAACAACATTTCGGGATTTTTTCGAGAAAATTTGGAGTTTTTGCGGGACTATTCTGGATTTTTCGCATCTTACGGCATTCTATGCATTTTTTCATAGAACTTATTTTTAGTGGGAATTAAAAAAGTAAATCTCATTTGATTGGCTTACTGGTTTCAGCTTAAGCTAATATACCGTGAAAATTTTGGGAAATATCAGTATTTCAAACATATAAGCATGAATGTTTCTAACTGCATTCGAGTAGCTGATATCAAACATTTAAATAAAATTGACACTTTAATGAAGATAATTAAATGATTTATCATTCCTTATACGTGAAATTTAATAAAATTCTGATTAATACCATCTAGTTATTAAAATATATTCATCAATCATCTGCGGGTTAAAATTTAAACTTAAAAATTGCACATTCATACTAAACCGCAGTCTGTATGAGATAGACTTCCTCCTAAGCAGCAAACAATACTTAAATACAAATAAAAATAAAAGCGCAAATAGGCAACGTGCGGCTGACATGTGTTATTGACATTCGCGCGACTTGTCGCCAAGCAATGAATGAATGACAGCTATGAACGATCTAATACCAAAACAACAACAAAAAAAAAACACTAAATTTGATATGTAGCTAATATTTATTTTATTTGTTGAAGTGCGGATATGTTGGGCACAGCCGAGCGGTGGGGTTCACATATTAGAGGTGCACGTGTCGTATGAGCAACTAAAAATAAAAGCAAATTCCAGAGTAGTTGAGTTGTGAACGGAAGTGTGAGCAATTTATATGAAAGTGGAGCTAAGAAAGTACAAGAAAATTAATGTTAATGATGGAAGCAAGAAAATGTATCTGCTAATTTTCTAATTTTCTTCAGGTGCAGTTGCGACTGCAAGTACTCGCATGTACGTACATAAATAGGTGGTCGTCGGTTAGCAGCTACTATTTTTAACCATATAGCCATTATAGCTGTAAACATTCGTAAGCGTCTACATTGCCGTAGTGTTTCTTACCCACCCATTATGCATAGTTTTTGTTATTACTCTATTTAAGCTACAGCTGTGTACATTTACTCTTGTGTGCGTTTATTTACTTTCGACTAAAAATAGCAACACATACAATTTCCACAATCGTTTTGTTTGTGCCATTACATCTGGTGACAAAATCAGCCCACATAACTAATTATAAACAAAATACCGCAAAGCGGTAAAGAAATGCCTAAGGGTGTATTTTGGTATTTTTCTATTTTTTGTCTGTTGTGTACCTTTTACGCTCGGAGATGGCGCAGCGCTCGATTTTACGGATCGATTTCAATTATCTTTTATTAGTTTGTAAGTTGTATTTTTAGATGATATACCTAAATATGTATATATGTATGTATGTGTACATTGCTAAGGATGAAGTATTTCTTAGCAGAATTCCTGCATATGTAAATATGTACCATGCACTCAGTTTTGATCGCCAGTGTAACTTTGTTTTGTTAAGCGAATAAACCAATTTTTTGTTGAAACTATTTGGTTTTATTTGTCGCCCGAAAAATACCCCTTTTTCTTTCTCAGTTGTACCCCAAGTCCCCCAAGTTGTTCTTATCTGTACCCCTTTCGGCATTTTAAGTCTGGCAACCCTACTACCATATGCACCAGATTTGGCCCCCTTCGGATTTTTTCCTGTTCCTAAAAGCTGAAGAGACTCATGAAAGGACGAATATCTGCAACAATTGAGCAGAAAAAGAGTGCAGCGCTGGCAGAGCGCAAGGCTATACAAAAAAGTGCTTATCAGAAGTGCCTCGAGGATTGGAAAACGTTGGAAGAAGTGCTTTATATGTACATACATATTAAAATGAGATCACTTTATAACTATCATTATTTTTATTATTATTATTATTTTTTGAACACACCTCGTACCTATGTATTGAAACACAACCAACAGAACTTACCTCGAACTTAGACTGCGTCAATTAAATAGCGAAGCAAAAAAGTAGCACCTAAAAAGAGCAAAAAAGAGAAATATTAACACTCTCCGTATAAACTTTTAAACAATGAAAAAAGTGCAAAGTTCTTAAAGCACCTAGGAAAATGGTTAGCTGAATTGATGGAGCATTAAATATTTGCTTAGAAATGCACTGCTGATTTGAACTAGAGATCCTTTGGCAAATTCATGGCACTTACCTATTTCAAATGTAAATTGCCCTATTTATAATCGCGCAAAAAAATATATGCTAAATATTTGTTATCTCTTAAATTGTATGCTTCTGCAATTAGCAAACTTTTGCGAAAATTCGAATTGGTAAGTTAATTGCTCACAAATGAATTGAGCAAGTTGGCGAAGGGCAAGCGAATAAACAGTGATTTGAGATTTACATAGCTAAAAGAAAATCAGAAAAATAGAAGATAAAAAAATTAAGTGGTTAAAAATACAAAAAAGTGCGAAACAAAGATGCTAAATGCATACCTATGAAACTATAATTATTTTTAATTGCGCAACAACGTGACCCTGGCCCTAGACTTGAGTTTTGTTTATTCTTCTTGCCTTAACTGCGCCTAAGTATGTATAAACATAGTAGTTTTTAATAATGATTTTTTTACTTGCTATTATTTTTTTCTAGCATTTTAAATTTTTCCACTAAAATCTAATGTGCCTTTAGATTTTATTTTTTTTGTTTGTTGCGTAAAAGATTATAATTTGTAGGTTTACCTGTAGCATGGCGGTCATGCATTAATGCCATGTAATAATACTAATGATGTGCCAGACTGCCTTGGCTGTTCAGCTTCAATTTACGCTTGCCAAATATCACGTGTCTTGGCCCTCTTAATACACTTGCAGATACTGAGCAAATTATTAATTTCCACCGTAGTTAATGATTGTTTAACGGCTCATCAATTAGTTTATGGGGGATTATCTACTACGGAATAATTTAGACAATTTTTAAAGGCCGCTGACCACATTTGAAACGCTGATGGCTTTTTTGAAGCAATAGTAGTTAACGGCAACAGTGTTGCATTTAAATTTACTATGAGTGATATTCAAAATGTTACTGACTTTTCAAGTAGTCTTCATAGCTGCATATGAGGATTGGGGAATAAATATGCTAGTCTATCGGAAAAAATTATGTCTGAATAAGAGATATGTATCGATAAATATGTAACTTATCGATACACATTTTAAATGAAAATATCGATAAATGGGTACTAGTGCAGACAATATATCTAGCACTTAACGTGGAAAAAATTCCACACACTCCGAATTTGTAACCGGTACAAAAAAGCAATTTCATTTTTGATCACTCTACTTTTTTCCGGGTTTTTCAAAATTAGCCACCGGTACAAAAAAGCGATTTCGTTTTTGAAATAACCATAATAAAAGAAGCGGGTGTGATCACTCCGCTTTTCTCTAAATTGGTAATCGGTTATAAAAACGCAGGCTTTTCGAAACTGTTATCTGGTACAAAAAAAAAACGATTTAAAAAATTTGAAATAACCATAATAAAAGAAATCGGCGTGCTGGGTCCGCTTTTATAAAAATTGGTAACCGGTCATAAAAACCCGTGTTTTTAGAGATTAGCAACCGGCACAAAAAGGCGATTTAATTTTTGAAATAACCATAATAAAACAAACGGGTGTGATCACTCCGCTTTTATTCAAAATTGGTAATCGGTAATAAAAACCCGGATTTTTCGGAATTGATATCCGGTACAAAAAAAAGAAGATTTATTTTTTAAATAACCGTAATAAACAAAACCGCGCTTTTATCAAAATTGGTAATCGGTAATAAAAACACGGGGTTCCTTGAAATTTGTATCCGGTACCAAAAAAAAAACGATTTCATTTTTTAAGTAACCGTAATAATAGAAAAGGCGCGAGCACTCCGATTTCCTTCAATATTGGTAATCGGTAATAAAATAACGGATTTTTTGAAATTGGTATTGGTATTGGTAAATTGGTACAATTTAATAAAAAAACCTCATAAAAGAAACAGGCGTGATCACTCTGCTGTTCTTTAATTTTTCTATATTTGTCCATTTGTGTGTCAATGCTAGTTGCAGCGTAGCGGTAATTGTTGGTTTTTTTAATTAACTCAAAATATTTTCTGTCAAATCGAGAGATAGCACATTTTCTTATCTTGCTTAAAATATTTGTTTGAACTGCATGATACCCTGATCTCCCCTCTAACTGAGTTATTCACGTATCGTTCATATTACCATAAAAGCAATAAAAGTATGCCGCCGATTAATCCATTATTTACTATTTATTTCTTCAAAAAATCTTCTGTTGAGCCATACTTTCAAAGACTTGCGATTCTGTATGAACTGTTCTTAATATAACAAATTACCAGCCAGAAATTTCAAAATCGAATCTAATGAAATTGTTATGAGTAGACACTAAAGTTTCATTACTTTTTTTATTGGCTGTTTCTAACATTTGCTCAATTCTATTTTTGCATTAAAGAGCTATTAAAAGCACTCATATTTCCAATTAATGAAGCAATTTTCATGTGGCAGCAAGCGCTAAAAATTTCCGCTATGGCAGCAATAAATCATATTTAATTAAAAAGTAATTAAGTTTATTAAATTCATATCTTAACCTATAATTGTTTAATGGGTTTATGAGTACAAAGATTTATAGACTAAAATATCTACAACTAACAACTTTTTTTTTGCTTTCATTAATATAGTCATTTGTTATACTGTTACATAGCCCTTTACAACCGCAACTATGGAAAGTTTATTAGCAATGAGAAGTGGAGTACACAAATAAGAGAATGATAAAATAAGAATAGGGATGAAATGAACCGAGTAAATTCAAGTACATAGATACTCGATACTTTTCATCCGATATCAAGTAATTTTGGTATCGATACTTTTGAACTAAGCACTGAGTAGGTATAGAAAAAAAATACTCGCATCGAAACCCGATACTAAGGCAAATACTGCTAAGGGAATTTTTCCCCCGTGGTTATTCCTAATCAGCCTTTTCATAAATTTCATTTCACTATGGGCGGATTAAAAAAATCTGGCGAGTTTGTTTTCGCGCGAAACTCACGATAATGAAAAGTATTCATGATCCAATCGCTTTTCCAAAGTCGATGTCAAATCGGACACTGTATCGTTGTCGGTAGAGAGAGCACAAACCAATCAACTACGTCGGTTGGTAAACTCCGTAAACGTAAATGTAGGGGAGGCTAGCTCTGCTATTGAAAAAAAGAAACAAAGAAGACAAAGAATAGGCTGCAGAGCTGATTCTAAATAAATAATCATTTTCTTCGAAAAAACTAAATTATTCAATGTATCCCAGAGTAAAAAAACGCCATCTTCGCCTCTAGTTTGGAGAAAAGTAGTTGCCAAATGGAAAATTATTCCGGTTTGCGGTATCTAGCTACTAGAAAATCGTTCGTGTTTAAATGTTATTTCTGCTGAGATACTTTTGAAATTTTTTTTTGCAAAACTTCATCCGTATGATTTTGTTTTTAAGCTGCTTATACTTCCAATTGTCGGACGCTGTGTTGTACTTAGTAGTAAGCGTAGTAAGCAGTGCGCGCTTCCACAGCAACGCCTGGGTTCAAGCCTTAGTCAAAGCAACATCGCAAAAAAAATATAGAAAACGGTTTTTTTTTTAACAGCGGCCCTCGGCAGGCAATGGCAAACCTCCGAGTGTATTTCTGCCATGAAAAACAGCTTCTCATAAAAATACCATCGCCGTTCGGAGTCGGCGTAAAACTGTAGGTCCCTCCACTTTGTGTGACAACATCAAGGCGCACAGCACAAATCGGAGGAGAAACTCGGCCAAACACTAACATATGTGTAAGCGCCAATCTATTATTATTATTATTATTATTATTATTATTTTTATTATTATTATTATTATTATTATTATAAATTCAAACTAGTTGGAGGAGTAAAAAACTGTTTTTTCGCGGCCCAGTCCCATGTACGTGTGTAGATACGTGTATGTATGTGAGCGCAATCATGTGTCTTTTTTTATTATCGTTGCAGTTATTAAAATATTTACTGCTATAATTTAGATTAAAATGTGCAAATTTATTTAATTTTTCAACCTAAAAGAGCTGGTTTAAACACTCACGGCAGCACGTAACAGCACATGTATGTATGTATGTGTATTCAACTGCAATATATTTGTCTCTGTATTATATCTACAATAAATATTATTGTTTAAATTACAACCCGTTCTGTGGTCTACAACAAGTGTTCGGTAATTTTTGTGAAAGTCGTTTTGAGCAATTTTTTATTGCAATGATAATTAAAATGAGTGACCAACAAACGGTATTTGATTTACAGCTATTTATTAGCAATTAACAAAAGTTTATAGTGGAAATTAATGTCGCATAGACCACCTGCCGGTCGTTTCGGAAGCATACAGCGATCATTAAAAGCTGATGCATACATTTGTAGATGAATGAAAAAAAATAGCTGCTTTTGACACAAATTCTCACAAATAATTTTGCGGGCCTGGTAAATTTTTGTTTTATGTATTATTTAATGATGTTATGAGTTAGACTCGTGCAAGGTTTCGTAATCGTTGGCGAAACCTAGACCCATAACAATACATCAGAGACGTAAGAGCACTTCAAACAGTGGACTTCTGCTGGTGAACGTGCACCAAAGAAAATCATTATGCGATGTCATTCCTATCGATTACCTTGTAAAAGAGTAAAACAACCGTCGAGCTGTTGGACGTTTTCGACATTGATTTGAAGCAAAACCAACCGTAATTGGCGTCGAAAGTTGGGGGAACCCAATGCAGGCGCAATGGAGAAATTGCAGCAATTCTACAGATTTAATTTATTAAGTTATCGAAACTTATCGTATCATTGAAGCTTATAGTTTTCGAAATTTATCGAGCTATCTATTTTTATTGAGTTATCGGTTTGGTTAAATTATTCAAAATGATCCCTGTTTATTGAGTTGTCGAAATTTATAGAGACACAGAAACTTAATTGTAGAAATTTACCTATAGATATCGAGTTATA